AAAAAAAAAAAAAAAAAGGTCTGGGGCACCCCTCTCCTCTTACCAGAGTCATTCACACTCTGTCTGAACCCCCAAACTCCTCACTGCATGCTAACTGTTCATCACACTACAAACATGCAGTTGGTGGAACTGATTCCACACATGTCTTTGTCCATCTTGAAACCCCCCAACACGCAAGCATGACCTATATGTCTGAATGTTTAATGCCTCACTCAAGGGAGAATAAATTTATTTCAGGGCTGTTATAAGGCGATATATTAGTTTTTGTGTGTGTGAGAGGTGAAAGAATTGAAAGCTACATTAGTAATTTTAATGGGTAACACTGGGTTCCAACAATCTTAATGATTTAATTTAACCACACAATTTGCAGTAAACTTGATTTTTAAAGTAAATTACATGTATTGTACTAATTTGACATTGTAGCACAACACAAAGTTGTTAGCATAGAGGATGGTAACACTCAAGGTTTGAAAGAAAAATCCATGCCTGTATTCACATTTGTGTATTTATGGAGGCTGAAAAAAATATTTAAACATGAAAGTAAGAGAAGACAAAAAATGGAGAGTCTGCTGTCTTTTTGTTGGATAATAAACGTAAATGATGTCATGTGAAAACCTGAGGAACCTGAGTGGTGGCTATAATTTGTTAATGCTGTTTTCTTCGTAATCTAATCACCAAAGGCTCTTAATGTCTCAAAAGGTCAAGTCAAACTTGATTTTCTGAGGAGGTTATAGAGAAAGAGGCTCTGGTAGCCAAAGTAAATAATGCCCAAAGTAAAGTTGCAGTTTGGTAAAGATGTTTGATAAAGGTCTGTGATTTTTTTCATCAGTATGATAGTTTTGTTGTTTCATCAAATAGACAATTAGATAATAAAGAAAGACTAAATGTGGAATAATTTGCTTAAATGTGAATTTGCAGGTGTGTGCATGTGTGTGTTATTTGTATTACTGTGCTCTGAAAATGTCCACCAGCTGGGTTCTCACATAGGTGCCCAAATGGCCCATCACAGAGCAGGCGAGAGGACACCCTTTGGCCTGAGAGCAAAGCTTCTCCAGCACAGCTGCAATGACGCATCTTCCAGATGTTGCTCAGGGTCTACCCGGGGTGCTGGAGAGGTCTCACAGACCCATATTTTAACTAGAATTTGTGTCTGCGGTCATGGTTTAGTTATTCGTTTGTCATTAAAAATGGATAGCAGTTTCCCAGGTTGGGTGCAGAGATAAAACTGTGCTCATGGGTGCAGACATGGCTGCACTGGCACTCCACCGTCACAGCCCAAAGCTGTGTTGTAAATTAAACCTCCAAATTCTTGTGGAAGTGATGAGTGTTTGGTTCAGCGCTGACTCACAATCTAAACTCATAAACAGAGTTAACCCCCTTGCGGCTGCCCTCGCCTGCCATTTTAAGACCCTTTCACCATCCATCTTTAGCAGCCCTCCTGCCCCTTTCAGCAGAGCTACCAGTGCACCTTCACCACCACAGGCCTCGCAGTGGTTTTAGCACCACAATTGACAAATTGTGGGATATGATCCATATCTTTCAGCAATCAGTTCCAGACTGTCTCAGTAGGAGGGGATACTGCCAAGTCTACCTTCAGCACTCGTGCAGTGTGCACTGCCACTTTCCATCTGATAACCCTTCAGTTTTCACAGGAGTAGGCAGCAAAGCCATTCCATGAGCTATTAGGGAAGAGAGCATCATATGTGTCTCTTTCCTCTGAGTAGATCAGGTGTGGGTAGCACTGAGGAGGGCGTGTGTGCACAGTAGGCTGCAGGCTGCTGTAAATCGGCACTTACAGATGAAATAAATTGCGTTCTCCTTTATTTAGACTGAAGTGTTTAAGAGACTGACTCCTGAGTCCCAGCGGAGTCACATCATCTCAGCATCCCGCCACTGGCTCACTTTACCAAATATGTCACATAGATCCTCTTTCATTACCAATAAACATTCTGCATGTACCTATTATAATTAGTGGAATCTAATAAGCTATAGGCATTGCTTTTTTTAAAAGTGTGCAAATGAATTTGGTAAAAGTTTCTCTCTTTATCTGGGGCTTGTGCTCACCTGTTGATGCATGGAATAAGCACAACAACAAAAGACATATATGGAGATGAAGCTGGTTTCCATAGCTTTATGTGTCAGACCAGTGCAGCCAAATTCAAACTCATGCTGATGCTTTTAAACTACTGTAAATTTTCACATAGCTAGTGAAGGTATAATCCCATAGGAAGGTATCAAGAGGTAACAAACAGTTCCCTGATCATTATAATATCAGTTGAATACCAGCTGCAATAGAGAAAATCACAAAGGAGCTGAGTGGTGACAACCAAACCCAACAGGCAACTGTGTTCCTGCCAGTATGGGTTTATGTTTCATAAAGGAATAAATAGGATTTGTGTAGATTGCAAGGGAGAAATTGTTGCACTGCATAAGTGTGAATGTTCTAACAGTTTCTTATTATTAGAATTTAAATAACTTTGGTACAGTGCTTCTGTACTCCTGATACTTATCAAACTAATCCCACTCTCTTCTCAAATTCACACTCCTAGCTACTTTAATTAGCATAGTGCCAGTCTGGAAGGCAAGCAGGGAGGGAATCGGAGAGAGGGGAAGGAAGAGGGGAAGGAGAAAGGAGGAGGAGGTGTGCGGGTATTGCGTGGTATGAGACAGAAGAGGATTTGTATGTTGAGGCTGGTTGCATCACCCCTCTGTGTTTTTGTGGATATGAAGTCAGCAGCACATTTTGTTTTGTCATTATCTCAGCTCTTGGTATTCATCTGCCGAATGTTGCAAATTGGCTCCTGAAAGGCGTCACACATTCAGTCTTTGACAAAATAATTCATGGAGGATTGTCTGAACGGGGAATTCTGAAATATGAGTGATCCTAATTGAAAGAAACAACATAGAGAGGTTTTTTTACTGCAGTGCAGTGCCATGCATTTACAATGTATGGAATGTGTGTTATCACTGATCAGGGATAAGGAATCGCAAAATGCCTCTAGATTACTAGGAATCCAGGCTTTTAGCTGAGAACAAAAGGAAAATTAAAGGCAATGAACCGAACTTGAACTGGAGACTACAACTGTCATTGTAGCTGTAAGACTGTTACTGGATCGCAGGTTTGCATCTAAACTCTCTTCTGGTTGTGCTCTAATACAACCTTCAGCCTTTGTCCTCTTCCAGCTTGGCTTCCTCCAAACCTTCCTCCTTTGTTTCACAAGCCTGACTTCAATAACACAGGTTATTACTCTTCTATCCCACTTCCCTCCCAAAACATTTCCTCACAGTGATCCAGAGATGCAGTGCAGGCCTGTCCAAGTGCAAAACCTTTTAGGTCCATGAAAACACAACTGAAGTGAGCCACATGAATTCAGGTGCACACTTGTAGGCAGATAGAGGAGACATGGAGGAGCGCTGCAGCTCTCCGCACTGCAGAGAATTAAACCAGATTGGGGAGACCGGAGGAGAATTCTGTGGTTCAAGATGACTTTGTGATCAGGTTCCAGAGCGTAGCCCCAAATCCTCATCTTCAGGCTGTGTGAGAGCAGGTGTGTGTGTGTGTGTGTGCGTGATAGCGTATGGGCACTTGTGCACGTGTTTATCCCAGTCTGTGCTGAGAACCTGATGACTGTTGGAGAAAGTAATGTATGTTCCTCTCTTATCCCATTTATATATACTGTGTTAAAGTGGAAACACTGCACCCACTGTTTGTGCACAATAACTCAATACAGTTGCAGCCTGTTTGTTAGTTTACCATATTATTTCAACAAGCCTGTTTAAAGTCTAAGAATACAGCTAATTGCTACAAACTGTGAGAAGTGACTTTGTTCTATGTGAGTTTTTCTGGCAGCTGAAGGCACTGTGATCAGACAACCGTAGCTGCTAGAAATTATATTTATATACAACTCATTTATAATGGCAAATGTGTTTATAAAGAAAAGTTATGCTTACTGGATTAAATTTTCAGCATAATAAGGAAACATTGTTAATGAGTGTATCCGTCAAGTTGGAAAATGTTGATACTGTAGGTGTCGGCCAAATGTTTACTGATGCCTTACTTCATTTGTCTTCCCTGCAGATTGTGTCAGTAGCAGTTTTTTATGGTTATGTTTAGCTACTCCCACTTGGTCCAGGTTAAGGAGAGACTGGGGTCTTGGTTTATAGAGAGAAAATCAGTAGCGGCTTGAAGCACAACACGGTATATTTATTTCATTAACATGTAGGCCTAACTTTGGAAAAAAGGCATTTGCAAAACAATTCAGAAGTATATAGACTTTATAAATATAGGATTTAATCAGAATAGAAGAATCATTACAGCATAAGATTACTGACTTGAAGATGGCAGCTGTGACATTTTTGTATGATGCCTCTTTTACAAATTTCAGTTGCATGAAGGCAAAACAAGCTGTGTTTTCTGGGTGATTTTGTTAACAAGAATAGACAAATTTACCTCCGATCTACAGTGGCAAGAACCATGAGAAATAGTGCTGCATTTTCATATTTGTTAGGGAAATAATTTTTACAAAGTAAATGTCTGCAGAGCAGTCACAGATAAATATATGTGCTGGAAACAAAATTATTGTAGTTAGAAGTGAGAGATTTCAGGTAAAAGGACTGAAAATGCAGCACTGAAACAAAAAGGGAAAACAGTAATAAAGCAAAACGATTTCAATATTTAAGTGTTTTGTGTCTGCCATGATAGAACACCTCCTTCCTAAGCTTGGATGACAAAGAGGGAAGGAAGTCAAAGTGAGCATAAAAGAAGGGTGGGGTGAGTGGATGAGGTCGGAGGTGAAGTGGCACTGCAGGGTGGGGTGACGGGGAGTGTGTGGAAGGAAGGGGTGTGCCCCCCTTGCCCCCTCCTCTGAGCCAGGCAGCTGTTTGTCTGGCCCAGTAGGAGCTTAGTTCAGACCTTGGACCACGCTCCACTACATCCCAATAGCAGAAATTTCAGTGGAGCCACACATCACATTTGTTTTGTAATAGCTGATTGAGGGATTCAAGCAGGCCCTTTATAGAGGATCGAGCCTTGAGATAAAGATTTCCTGTTGGAAAACACAGTCGTCACTTGTTGCATCCTATTTTGTTCCTAGTTAGCGCTCCGGTTTAAACCAAGCTATGAGCAAAAACATCACCAGATCTTTACAGAGGCGGTGACTGTGTGGGAAAAGAACCACATTCAAATTAAGATCTCCACTGGGCTGAGAACCCTTGTAGGCCTATATGAGTTTATATGTATGTTGGTGTGTACAAAAAAGAGGCAGCCCTGAAAAGCTGTGAGTATATCGCTGTGTAAGTCCCCTTGAAAGTGTCCCTCTTTAAGACCTGTTTAAAAGGGACGCCCCTTCTTTGTGTCCTCTGTTCTCCATGGCGTATGGAGGGGCTTTTGTCCCCCTCTTTCATGTGCTCTCACAATAGCCTGAACTGTTTGAAACACAACAGTAGATGAACTACACTGACAGTGTATTAAACTCTGATGAATTGCCTGTGCGAGGCATAGATCAATGTCCTTCAACCCTTAGCACACAGTGAAGCCCGGGCCTTGTCTTGGTTAAATGGAACAGGTTGCTGGCTCTTTTCAAAAGGGGCTGATTATATTCATGTTTTGTTGAAGCAGGAGCCTTTTTAAAATGTGTAAATCTTTGTGTTTCAAAAGAGTCCTATTTTTCCCCTTTTCTTTCAGGGAATTGACATTGTGTGTCTCTGCTTTGGTGCTGCACATTTCGTGAGCATTTGCAGCCCTAGAACTAAATGTCTTGGCTCTAAAGTTAAAACACTTTCTTTCTGATCGGCTTTAAAAAATAACCACGTTTAAACAGCACAGTACTGTAGTAGTAGACCAGCTGACATTACTCTGTGTGTTCAGAGAAGTGATGGCCTTTCTCAAAGTATCTAATAGCTTCACAAACATACTTGAGATGTGTGATATGGAGACTTGTGGCCTACCGCTGACCTTTAAATGACTTCTTCCCTCTGAAGAGGGCTTTGGGCAGCCTGTTTACACAGATCACAGCTTCAGCCACTTAAGAACAACAGGGACAGACTACTGAGTCTCTGTGGCAGCTCCCACAGGGGCTGCTGACTCTCAGCTAGCACTAGCACCACCACTCACACTGGCTGGCAGATTAATCACAGGTGGCAGGAGCCAGCACACTGCAGACCACTGCAGTCAGTTGCTCACTGCACAAACATAAATTTAGTTTTAGTTTTATCCTATTTTTGCATGCTTTATAAGGCGGTAAAAAATTATTTTTTTTCTGTAGGTGTGGTTCAGCAACAGACGAGCTCGGTGGCGCAAACAGGCTGGGGCCAATCAGCTTGCGGCCTTCAACCACTTGCTTCCTGGAGGATTCCCACCCACAGGGATGCCAACTTTACCCACATACCAGCTACCAGAGTCCAGCTACCCCAGCACTACCCTATCACAGGGTAAGGCTGACCCTTCTACCCTCAGACTCTCACAAAACACTTCAAAGTTCACACTCTGTCCCCAGAACTTAATCTAATTTCTATAAAGATTGCATTAGTGCTATTCATTTTTTGGTATGCTGTCCATACTTTATGTTATGATGGTAACATTACAAATTATATATAAACCATGTGCTGCATATAAGAACCATGCAGCAATCACATCTTTGTCACAATGAGTGTGTGTTAAACATACAGACCATTTCTGTTCTTTGCAGCACTTCCTAAAGATGTGCTTATTGAGTAAAGAACTTCAAGGAAGGAAGTTTTATGTACGAGTTACTAAGGCTGCTGTTTGAGGATTTATGTTAAGCTTCTGCACAGAATTTTAAGTATATTTTCTTTGATCATCTCATTACCTGTGCGCTTTGTGTTGTTCTTTGGTGTCAGAGGGCAGCAGTACATTGCACAGACCTCAGCCCCTGCCCCCATCCTCCATGCACCAGGGAGGTCTGAGTGCTGACAGCAGCTCTGCTTATGGTCTTTCATCCAATCGCCATGGCTTCTCCAGCTACTCTGATACTTTCATGAGTCCTTCAGCATCCAGCAACCACATGAACCCTGTTGGCAATGGGCTCTCCCCACAGGTCAGTCCAATAAGCTTTACCTCATGTGCAAGTATATATGATGTTCCATTATTAGTCATGTTAACATTCGTCACTTTTTCTCCTCCCATCCTCCTCCTCTCACTGTTCAGAATATGTAATTGTATTTGACTGATATTAAAATTTAGAAACAGCATGTTCAGCAAAATAACTGCCAGTGTGGGCTTTTATGTTCGCCTTCCAAAGCCCTGGATTTATTATAGCTGCTCTAAATTGCTACATTTGTAAAACAATTGGATTAACATCAACAAATTAAAATTCATCTTGATAATATCACAAGTACTGAAACTGCTCCAAACAGCGCCTTTTTTTTTTTTCAACTTTCCTGGGACATCTAAACCCTGCACAGAGCTCTGAGAACACATGCAGATGAAATAATTAGCTAAAGCTTATAAATGTAGACTTGTAATCTTCTTCATGTAATTGTCTGCAGCTGGAAAAATCCAGTGCTATGTGAGATTTTCTTCTTTTTACTGCATGATTTCGAAGCAGAGTGAGAGAGGCACTGTGCTCTCCACGTGAGGTTTTCTAGTATCCTGCTGGTCACTGCACCTGCTCTCATACACGCTTTCTGAGGTTTAGTTGCAGTTTAAATCTGTACAGCATCCAAAATATCTTCCCTTCCCTGTCTTGAAAAATATGATTTCTGTGCCATCTGTATTTCTGTATGCAGGCTTGTTTGTTTGTTTTCTGGAAAACACTGGATTTCACATGTTAACCTCTTTGGACACCTCCATTAATGAGCGTTTAAATGCGACTTTATGGTGAGGGTTGAGCTTTAAGTAGTACAGAATGAAAAATGATTTGTATTGATGCAAATCGTGTGTACGGAGTGAATTATACACAATTACCCATCAATACTGGTCAGTCTTGCCCACCCTCACCAACAAGATGTGGTTAACAGGCAGAAAATAAGATTGAAATGGTGTGTAAAGAGTTGAAAATGAATTTCAATGCTGCATTTGTCCACAATTACCCCGTCGTTCACACATGTTTTATTGGGAGTTTTTTTCTTCAAATATTTCTCAAAGCAGATTGGAAACATTCTTGGTATTACCCTCTTTCTTCAGAAGAAAGAATTAAGGATTTTGTGACAAAAAAGAGATTTTCTCTCCTGCTGGAGCGACGGAGGATAACATGGAGGCTCACAGCGTGTTTGATTGTTAATCGTGGCACAGGGGCTTTAACTGCTAATGCTTTCACTGCAAACCTGCAGAAAAACACCAGGACCGAGGAGTCGTTTTTTCATTAATGGCTCTCTCTAATACTGGCATGGGGTGTGCTCTTCACAGGCATTCAAGAATGTGTTGGGATATTAAGTGTTTCCTGTCATAGTGAGGATTAGGACAGGAGCCTTTGGGCAACTGTACAGCATGGATTCTCAGTATTCAATTACTATATCAAGTGGGTTTGATGAAGGTCTTTGTAAAAAAAAAAAAATATTGAAATTCAGGTTGTTTTTTAACTCATGAAGTAAATTTTGGGTTTTGTTATTTCATTTTGGGGGTGTGGGGGCACATGCATGTGTTCTGGATGTTTAGATATGTCACACCATGTTGGCACTGCGCAAAAATTGAAATGTACTGAATGCATGCAGAATGCTGTGTGGCATTCCTATCAGTCTCTCAGCGTGGAGATGAATGTTCCCACTGACAGCAGAATCACACTTCACTCTGTGGTGCAGCATCCTGCTGGGCTGGCCTGCCCCTATCTCTCTCTCTCTGTCGCTCTTTCTTATACTTCACATCCAGCTATTCATAACACAGAAAACCTGTGTAACAGACACTCAGTTTACCTTGTTGAAGTCAGACCTTGTTGTGTTTTTGCCTGCATCTAAACAAATTTTAGTCAAATAGACACAAATTTAACACCTTGTACTTTATTTTTTATGATGTGCAGCAATTTTTCTTTCCCTTACCTGTTTTCCCTTCACTATATTTGAGAAAAGGCAACACAAAGAGACACTCTATCGGGATGGAAATGAGAATTTGATATTGTAAGTTACAGACAGCATCTGTTTGCATGAGATATGCTTGTGCATTGGTATGTGTGAGCTATTTCTTCAAGTGTCTGGCATTGATGGCCTAGCGGTTGCTGTAAAGATTGACAAAAATTCTCTGATTCCCAGTAAATGGGCTGTGGTGGCGAAGTGCCAAGGCTGTAATGGAATCCTGCAGCGTTCAGCAGTCCCGACAGGAGCTCGCGTCCATTCCAATCCCATAACCTATCCCGACAGCACACATTTTCCCATTACAGGCGGTGGAAAAGCCATCCACACTCAAACTGGTTGCTGTCATTGTGGGATATACAACATGTTTGGCTGGTTGAGGGAGGCAGTATATTAGGGGAAGTGAGAGTAAAGCTGTGCATGGCTGGGCAAAAGGTATGAAACCAGAAGTGTGTTTTGTTGTTGGTCGTGTTTCATTTAGTGGCACAGCATGTGTTGGAAAGACGGAAAGGCAAGGGCACGGAGGACAGCCATTCCACATTTTTACCTGAAAATGTCTGCCTGTCTGTTATGGTGTTTGTTTAAATACATGCATTTCATTTGAAATAGACTTTTGACTTGACCTCTTGGGTGGTCATAATGGTGCTTCAAATCTGAATTTTGCCTACTCTGGCTAGAAAGCAATTAAACAGTATTTACTTTGGACAGACAGTTTTCCTTTAACTGAGGAGGTCATGTTTTGACAGCCAACATGCAGTCATCTCTTAAGAATATTGTATATTTTCAACAAAACCTGACAATATAAAATTCAATTAGCTTTTTAAATGTTTTTCAAATGAGTTTTTGAATCTGTGTTCATGGGCTTTGTATTTGTGGGGAGATGTTTGGGCTGAGTTCCCACTATTGCATGACAGGGACACCTGCTGGGAGAGGAAAGAAAACAGCTGCTCTGAGTTGAAACCATGCAAGAGAAGTTCAGTGGCAGAGCTCAGGTTTTACTCTTTAGAGAAATTTCTAGAAATTCTGACATCAGGGAATGAAAAGGACAAAAGCATTTCTCTTGCAGAGTGGGAAATGCACCGCTGAATGCGTGCAGTGATGGCGATGATAGGGACAGCTTTAAATCTGTGAACTCTGTAAGATTGGTGGATAGAGATTTTATTGCTGTTTTGATGAAAGAAGTTCAGAAACTTGTGTGAGGAACTTTTTTCAGTTTTGCAGTTTTATAAAAGTGTTGTGTGTTTTGGAATGACAAGGATGTGTGTGTGTGTGTGTGTGTGTATGTATGTATGTATGTATCTGAGGAGGGCCTTTGGGCTGTGTGAGTGGGCCGGGCCTGCACACATACACGTACACGGGATCAGAGGCAGCGCGGCTCTCACCCCTGCCTCCCTTTGATCTGTGTCCCCAGGCCTTCCTGCCCGTGCGGCGCTGCACCGTACCACGCACGCTGACACCATGCTCACCAGCGACTCCCCACAACTGTCTGAGAGAGATAAGCCAGGGGAGACTCCAAACTGCGCTGCTGCTCCTCCATTAGCTAGCGCAGGCGCTTCTTTTAAAAACGGGGTGAATTATTTTTAAGAAGCAAGCTATGTCGTTGCCAAAAAAAAAATGGAAAGGGGAAAATGTACGGAACAATCTGGAGCTCTGGCTTCATTCCGCCTCCCTCCCTGACTTCTAACAAGTCATTCTGCACCTGAATACCAATGAGAGGGGGAGGTTCATGTAGTCCCCCACATTATTAAAACTTGGGCATTAAGCCTCTCACTGGGCACTGTGTCAGCTGGCAGGCTCCACTGACAACAAATCAAAGGGGATGAGCACATAGCCTGCATTCATAGCTCAGCCACTTGCAGAGCAAGAGGGGGAATACATACTGGTTAATTAGAACTCCCATTAAAACAAATACTGTTTCAATTTGGCAAGTATAAAAAAAGATGCAAGAGGCTTTCAGCTGCTGTTGGCAGCTGCCAAGAAAATCCAGGGACTGTAAATCATATCCACTGGCTATACTGTTTCTGCACAGATTATTAATGTTTGCTGTTGTTTAGCAACACTTCTGAACTCTGAGGAAAGATTCTCTGTCTGTGACACCAGAAATGAACCTGCAGCGCACTCACTAGTGGCTGTGTTGCTTTAGCCTTCGTCTCCTGTAGGCACTTTACAAAGATAGACTATTCCTTTTATGAAGTATGACATAACTAGTAGTACTGTTTTTCAGTCTGAACCTGAAACCTTTATGACATTAGAGTACCGTTCACAGAGCACATCGTGGCCTTTTCTTCTGCTTTACAAACAGGATGCAAGCAGCTGAGACAGAGCTGCAGTTTACTTACCGTCTGTATACCCGAGCCATTTCTTGCTCACGTTGTCTTTTAGGTCTCTCAAGCACCAGAATGGAGCTATTTTCCTTGTCATTCCAAAATATTTTTGGTGGGAGCTTTGTGCATTCATAATCTATTTTTCACCTACCAACCTTCCTTCACTCAATTTGGCTTTTTGTCATCTCATGATGCCTTGCCAGTAGTGCTTTGCTTTCTCTCTCTTTTCTCTGTCTCTCACTCTCCGTCTCTCCCCACTTTCTTCTCTTGCTCCAGCTCTCTCCCCTGGAGAGGCAGCTCTTCTCCCTACACCCAGATGAAAGGCTATGGCGGACAATAAAAATGCTATTTAAATGCAAATGTGTTTGTGTGC